TTTAGTGTCCTTTTCTCTGCCACTGACACCAGAGTGTCCAGCTTCATGCCGACCACAGAGCCAGCCTTCCTGATCAGTTTTTCCAGCCTGGATGAGTCTGCATTAGACTGCATTAGTCTGATCTACTACATTTTATTGGGCTTGTCAAAGATTTAACAAATGTCAGAGTGTATTTTTTTGGTCTTGCTTTCCGATAAGAGCACAAACCATAACTACCATAACTAGGGCGTATGTGTTTTGGTAACTTCTTCCCCACAAATGCACATCTGCAAATGAGTTGCATGACAGATCGACTCTGTCTGTAAAATTCTGTTTCAGCAAATGTTATTTTCCAGATGTGTTAAGTTGGCTGTCAAGTTTAAAGACAATCAACATTATTTAATAAATGTGACCTGTGGGTTTCTCTGCCTTTTAGGGAGGGGAATACTTATACAATACCTATACTTTTAGGTTGCTCTGAGAGGTGTTATAGGTGTTAGTATCAGAACTGCTAATTTATCAAAACTACACAATAAACAAGTGAAATGCAGATATATGACCAAAGATGGAAAAGAAAAATGTTGTGAAACTTGGTGCAGAGCTCATGCATGGACAAATCTATGGATCTAAATTTTAAATACATAAATGATTGTGTTATTTTCCAGGCAATCACAATAATCACTTTTCCCTAAAACAGCCTAATTACTTGACGTCTTTCTTCTTTTCAGTCCGTCTTCAAGAACTTTGACACAGATGGCGATGGCAATATCTCCAGGGATGAATTTGAAGCAATCAGGAACAACTTTCCATACCTCAGCAAGTTTGGAGAACTGGACAAGAACCAGTGAGAATCTGTAGCTTTATTCATAAGCACTTTATAGACTGAGCCGACTTACAATCTGCTTCCTATGACATTCATCTCTTTCTGCGTCCTCTTACAGAGACGGGAAGATCAGCAGGGAGGAGATGATAGACTACTTTATGAAAGCCAGCTCTCTGCTGAACTGCAAGATGGGTTTCATCCACACTTTTACCGAGACCACCTATGTCAAGCCCACGTTCTGTGAACACTGTGCTGGCTTTGTGAGTAAACATCTATGCCTAAAACGTAAACAGCAGCCATCTTTTCAGCTTGTGTATAATTCTGCTTTTGACCTCAGCCCATCCTAAAATGTTCACGAAACACAGTCGATGGAAAAACTTGATTTTAGGCACTGACTCAGCTGTATGATTTATAAATGCCCCAGTGTCATGCACTTCATTATTTGTCTTGGCTGTTACTGTCAAGCCGTGGTAGCACAACTCTTTAAGGTCCCTCCTGTCAGGTCAGGGTAGTGCAATCCCTTTGAGCTGCAGCCACACACTGCTGAAGTCGCATTCTGGGAAATATGAGAGGAAGTTAACTGGGTGAGATGATAACCCTCGTCTGTGGCAGTGTTAAGGGTGTGTGAGTGTGCGTCCTCTGGCCCTCGACGTTCCCAAAAGTCCCCCAAGGATCTCTGTGTTATTGAGACACAGACGGTGACTAAGCTGTAATGAGAACAGGCCTTTAATGTTGAAGCAGAGACACTGAGATGACATCACATTCATTTCTTTATATTGCATTATAAGC